GCAGTGGTTCACACCTATAATCCCTGCTACTCCGAGGTGGGACTGGGCAACAGAGTGAGACTCTGTCTCAATCAATCAATAAAATGTTCTCTCTCTCACCCTCACTTTTTTTTTTTTCTGTCACATAGGCTAGAGTGCAGTGGTGCGATCATAGCTCACTGCAGCCTTGAATTCCTGGCTCAAACAATCCTTCCACCTCAGCCTCCCAAGAAGCTCAGACTATAGGCATGTACCACGCCTGGCTAATTTTTTTTTTTTTAATTTTATAGAGATAGTATTTCATTATGTTGCCCTAGCTGGTCTCAAATTACCCTCGCTCTTGACTAAAAGTTTACTAGAAACGGAATTAATAATTAATAGCGCATTGAAGACATATTTCTTCTGGCATCTACTGTTGTTGATGAGAAGTCTGCCATCAGCCTAATTCGTAAGTAATAGTATTTCCTTTCTTGCTGGTAGCTTTTCAAATTTCCCCTTTTAGTATTATTCTTAAAGTTCTGCAGTTTCTCTAAGCTGTCTTTTCTTGGCCCCTTTTGTAATAGGGAGAGCCCCACTCAGCTTTTTGTGCTCATTTTGCCCTGAGAAGCCCATCTTTCTGTCTACTTCTGGGCAGGACGGCCAGAAGGCCCGAGTCTTCTGCTTCTTCCCACTTCTTTGTGTTTCTATTACATTTCTGTTCAGGAGATGTTTATTGCCTTGGTTTCTTGTTTGTTTTAGGAAGAAATACTTCTTTTTTTTTTTTTTTTTTTTTTTTTGAGATGGAGTCTTCCTCTGTTACCCAGGCTGGAGTGCAGTGCAGTGGCATGATCTCGGCTCACTGCAACCTCCACCTCCTGGGTTCAAGCAATTCTCCTGCCTCAGCCTCACAGTAGCTGGGATTACAGGTACCCGCCACCATGCCTGGCTAATTTTTGTGTTTTCAGTAGAGATGGGGTTTTGCCATGTTGGCCAGGATAGTCGTGAATGCCTGACCTTGTGATCCACCTGTCTCGGCCTCCCAAAGTGCTGAGATTACAGGTGTGAGACACCACACCCGGCCAGGAATATTTCTTTTACATTTCTCTGATTTCATCAATCCTTGCTTTTTGTTTGGTGCTGAGGAAGGTCTCAAAGTGTACACTTACAATGTCATCTTGACTGGAAACTCTGCTTGCAGCTTTGTTAAAAAAGGCAAAAAAGGTTTTTTAAGGTTCAGTCTACATGTCAGGTGTTCATTTGAAAGCTGGTAAAGGGGGCCAAGATCTGCTGAACTTACCCATTAACAAAGCTCACTAACTGAAGGACAATAGGGGAAAGTACACCACTTATTACGATCATATATTCAATAAGCATGTACTGACCATCTGCTTTTGAATCGCAGCTCTGCTACTTAGGGAGCTGTGTAATTTGGGGACGGTTACTTAAGTTCTCTGTACCAGTGTCCTCTTCTATGAAAGGCCAAGTGTGAGGTTTAAATAAGGTAAAATGTGTAAAGTGTTTAGAATAGTGCCAGCACAGAAGTGCTCACTAAATACTAGCTATTATTCCTGTTAGAGGGAAACACTTACTCTGCAGTCCCATGTTCCTACACAGGAGACAAATGCCCCACTCCATTTCTCAGGAGAAAAGGTCACGAAAAGAGCAATTGCAGCTTCTCTTTGTCCTCCACTCACTCCTCTCCAGGACCAGCAGATGACTGATCTGACAGCTGGGCTTCAGAGATGGACCTATGTGTGACTGGCTTAATTCTTTCTAGGTTATCTGCAATCAGAAACAACCTATCTAACCATGCATACAAACTTCGCTTCTGGCTTGGAGGCTCAGGCTTTGTTCCTATAAGAGGAAGACTTTGGTTTCATTTGTTTCGTTATTTTGTGAGGGAGGTTCAGTCCAGGAAGAAGTATATAGAAGGAATCGACAAGCACTTTTAGTCATAGCAAACTGTCAGTCACAGACTTTAAACCACATTTGTCCATCAGTTTTATTAACAATAAAGCCAATGTTCTGATCTCCATTTATCTATCACCTATCCTTCCCGCCCCCCTGCCGCCGAGACAGGGTCTCGTCTGTGGCCCAGGCTGGAGTGCGGTGGCACCATCAGGGCTCACTGCACCACCAACATCCTGGTCTCAAGCAATCCTCCCGCCTCAGCCCCTCAAGTTGCTAGGACTACAGACACATGTCACCACACCTGACTAATTTTTTGTTTGAATTTTAGTACAGACGAGGTCTCGCTATGTTGCCCAGACTGGTCTTGAACTTCTGAGCTCAAGTGATCCTCCCAGCTCAGCCTCCCAAAATCCACTGGGATTATAACCTATTTCTGAACTTGCTCCAAACTCAGGAGAAGAAAGGGGTATTAGTTACTGGCTTACTCAAATCTTCAACAGCTCTGAGGATTTGGCTATAAGGTTCTTGGGGGATTAAATACAATAATAGATATAAAGCTCTTACAGTGTTTGACATACAGTGATGCTCAATACATTTTAGCTATTAATATTATTATTATATGTGCCAGATATTGTCCTAAAAGGTGAGTTATACCAGTAGCAGGAGGAACTTAATGCTGCAACAGTATTAGAACAGTTAACCCTGTACATGAGATATTATGAACAGCAGCAGTAGCAGTCCCATAATTATTTCATTAAATCACAAACACTTTTACTAAGCAAACTGCATACCCCAAGAACTGTGGGAGATGCTGGGAATTCAATATTATTTATAGAAATCTGTCCTTCAAAAGCTTACAGGCTAGAAAAGAAGAAAGACAAGCCTAGTTGCAAAGTGGTATATCCTATGTCAAAGGTATACATAGCATGTTGATGATTAGAAGAGGAGAGCTCTGAAATAAAGAAAAATGTCTATCAGAGTTTGAACTGAATTTGAAGAAGTCACCTGAATAACTTCCATTTTGGTAAATCCAGTGGGCAATTTTTGGTCCTCCTATTTGATCACTCTCTCCTCTTAAAAAACAAGCAAAAAGACAAACAATAACAACAACAACAACAACAACAAAAAACCCTTTATTTCTTTGGACTTTGAGATTCTACACAAAACTTTGCTCTCTTTACCTTGGACCACTTCTTCTCAGTCATCTTTTCTGGTGACCCCTTGTCTATGTGGCGTTTAAAAGCTGGAGGTCTTCCAGGCTTGGGCACCTAGCCCCCTTTCTTCCTACAGTACTGCCAGTTCCTAGCCCATCTTATCCCCACTCACGACTTCAATGACTATTTGTCATTGGCCCCACATAAGTATTTCTAACCTAATCCTCTCCTCTGAATTTCAGACTCATATATCCAAATGCCTACTTCCATCTATACATGGATGTCTCAAAGGCATCTCAAACTCCACAGGATCAAATATCAACTCACAATCTGCCTCCACCAAACCTGGTTTTCCTCCAGTGTCTCTTAGTTTTCTCAGTGCCTGACACCTTTTTCCATCCAGTTACTTCATCTAAGCCAGAAACCCAAAAGTCATCCATGACACCTCCTTTTTCTTATGCCTTAAATTCAAATTATCAGCAAGTCCTAATGATTTTATCTACTAAAACTTTCTTAAATCTATCTTCTCTCTATTCTGCTGCCATCCTGTTTCAAAGTATCACATCTCTTATCTGATACACTGTAAGATCCTCCTTACTGATCTCCCACAAATATTCTTGCCTCTTCTATAATCAGTCTCTACTGCAGCCAGAATGAAATTATTGAAACGCAAATCTGATAATATCACTGCTGTGCTAAAAATCCTTTCACACAGACCCTGTTCTTAGGGTAAAATCCTTTAAAAGTTCTGTGTGCTGTGGTCCCTGCCTAGCTCTCCCGCCCCATCGGGTATCACTCTCCCCTCATTGCTCTGACCTTCCTTTAGTCCCTAAAACTCACCATGTTCCCTTCTATTTCATCGTCTTCCAACACATTAACCTCTACTGCCTGAAATATTCTCTCTATTCAGCCCCTACTCCCTTTACACAGTTCACTTCTATTCATCATCTGGAGTGTAGCTTTAAAAGTCAAGTCCCCAAGAAGACCTTTCTTGAGCTCTTAGAATAGGTTAGGCCCTCCTTATATGCTTATATAGCATTTACCACCATTTGTGTTTACATGTTTATCTGTTAGATTACTGTATCAGTGTTTGCCTCCTCCATATACTCCACAACAGCAGGAAATTATCCATTTGCTCACCACTGTGTTCTTAGCACTGGGAGTACAGTACAGTGGCTGACATACAGCAGGCACTCAACAAAATGTTGTTGAAAAAATGAAGTACTCTAAGCAACAGCATTTCAGACAACCAAGAGCTATGAAGCAACATGATCACTAAGAGCAAATAATGCACAGGGTTGCTAAGTAAAACACCATAGTAGAATAGAAAAAGCATAGGCTTTAGAGGCAGGCAGCCTGAAATTTCAGTTCAGCTAGATGGATGAACCTATGAAGTTCATCTCAAACAACCTTTTTCCTTAACTATAAAACGGAAAGGACAAAACATACCACATTGGTTTTGGCTAGTATTAACTGGGGAAAAGGACAAGAATCAGCTGGCACAGTACCATAGATAGTAGGTACTTGGCAAATATGAATTCACTTCCTTTTCCTTTCTCTAATAACTTTTAGATGTAGAGATAATGCTGACTATAAAACAAGCTGATTCATAGTTTCTTAAATGTATTGAAAGTTATGAGAGATCTGAAACATTTAATAAAATTGTATTGCATTTAATCAAAATTCGCCATCCTTTCTTAACCCCCAAAGAATTATGTAGAATAAGAGAAAACAGCTAGTTCCAGATTTCCTTTAGAAAAATTAATATAATCTGGATTTAGAATAGATGGACTGGATGGTTACGTGCCTTACAGAATGAGTTTTCACATTAAAAAGATTCACCTTAAGCCACACTAAGCAACAAATTTAAAGCATGATTCTATTTACACAGAGCTTTTCAGGATTATATCTACCCTGTACACCTGCAAGGCACACCTGCACTGAACAAAATTCATAACATCAGAAGGATCCTCTTACCTTATGTTCAAATGGAGCACCATAGTAGCCATCATTCAGCCCAAAAATTATTTCATTTTGGTTACGGGCATGAATCTAAGAGAGGAGAAAAATACAGTCAGTATTCGTTATTTTTATTCCAATCATGTTTTAATATAACTAGAGAATGACAGTTATAACAGGATCTACTTCAATACAGAGAAACAGGCTGACTACATCTAAACATACTAGCAGAAAACCAATCACTATTCAAAAGACCAGGAGATCAATTCAGCATTTCCTGCTTTAGTCAAAGACCTTGCAAAATTATCACATGCCATCACAGGCACCATCACTCAACATATCTTTCACAAACATTTCCTGAGGTTGTTACAGAATGGCTATTCCTGAACAAGAGGGCATTCAGAGGCATATTCTATACTCTCTGAAACCAAAGAAAACACAATTCATTAAGTCTAAAAGTAATTTTTAAAATATGAAGCCTAGGCCTGGCACCGTAGCTCACGTCTATATTCCCAGCACTTTGGGAGGCAGAGATGGGTAGATAGATAGCTTAAGCTCAGGAGTTCAAGACCAGCCTGGGCAACATAGCGAGACCTCTTCTCTACAAATAACAATAACAATAAAAAATATTAGCCGGGCGTGATGGTGCACGCCTGTGGTCCCAGCTACTCGGGAGGCTGAGGTGGGAAGACTGCTGGAGCCTGGGCGGTCAAGGCTTCAGTGAGCCATGATCATACCACCGCATTCCAGCATGGGTGAGGGAGCACAACCTCGTCTTAAAAAGAAGAAAAAAAAATGAAGCCCCAGAACAAACATAAAAGATTAATATATTCTATTTTCAAAAAGACAATTTTTTAAAAGGCAATAGCATCCAATCCCTAAACCACTCTCTTTTATTATTGTCTGCAAACCACTCTATTTCAGACGAGGTGAGCTTCAGTCAGTGCATCCCAAATTAAACTTCATTTAAAAGGTGGAAGGAATAAAACTTTAAAAATTAAGGAACTGAGGCCAGGCTCCGGTGACTCATGCCTGTAATCCCAGCACTTTGCAGGGGGTAGGCGGGCGGATCACTTGAGGTCAGAAATGAGACCAGTCTGGCCAACATGGCGAAACCATGTTTCTACTAAAAATACAAAACTTGGGGCCAGGTGAGCTGGTTCACACCTGTAATCCCAGCACTTTGGGAGGCCAAGGTGGGCGGACCACGAGGTCAGGAGCTGGAGATCATCCTGGTTAACGCGGTGAAACCCTGTCTCTACTAAAAATACAAAAAATTAGCCGGACGTGGTGGCGGGCGTCTGTAGTCCCAGATACTCGGGAGGCTGAGGCAGGAGAATTGCGTGAACTCAGGAGGCGGAGCTTGCAGTGAGCCGAGATCGCGCCACTGCACTCCAGCCTGGACGACCAAGCAAGTCCTTGTCTCAAAAAAAAAAAAAAAAGAAAAAGAAATTAGCTGGGCGTGGCAGTGCACATGTGTTACTCCAGCTACTAGGGAGGCTGAGTGAGGCAGAATTGTTTGAACCTGGAAGGCGGAGGTTGCAGTGAGCCGAGATCGCACCACTGCACTCCAGCCTGGGCGACAGAGCGAGACTCTGTCTCAAAAAAAAAAAAAAAAAAAAATTAAGGAACTCAGATTAAAAAAAAATAACTCGAAGTAGTTTAAAGTGTCCAACTATGAAATATATAAATAGATTTAGTTAATTCATCAGAAAGAGTTGTGGCAAAACAATTAAATAAAATTCTTCTGCCCTGAAGGTTTTAAGTGAAAGTTCAAGTGGGGGAAAGACAAGAAGGACTACCAGAACAGAATCTCTCCTTTCTCTACGTAGAGATGGAAAACAGTCAAAGCCAGCAGCAGAACATTCCTGTGAACACTTCCCTGACTTCTGTATCTCCCACCTCTATCACGAAAGCAAAATCAATCACATACTCCCTGTTTATCCACATCATTTACTGAACTGAATACAATACCAAAAGATGAGTCTGCAATCATAAACTTAAAATAAAAACTGTAAATCAATCTCAAGGAGTTTTTCATCTTAGAAAAGAGAAAACATTATGGAAGCAGTCTCAAGATTAGAAGGATCCTGAAATTTTATAAACATAAAACATTTTTACACATATATACCTGGGGAAAAAAAGATTAAAATTATATTCACCAAAATGTTAACAATGGTTACAGCTGGGCAGAAGAATTATGTGTAATTTTTTATTCTCTTTACTGTGTTTTTCTAAACTGTCCAAATTGTCCACAAAGAAAATTAGAAGAAAATAAAAATACACACTTAAAGAAAGGGATGGGGAGAGTATGGGGAGAAACAAATCTAACATGAAGGTGAAGTTCTCAAAGTGTAAACTTCATGAAGACGGGCATTAAAATAGTTTGTCGAAAAATAAGAAACAATATAGTACTAGTACTTAAATAGATATGGGGATAAAAAGTAAGTAACCTGAGTTCTAATTCCAACTCTGTTTCATAAGGAGCTCGTCAGAGAAGTGAACTCTGACTTCTTTTACAGCCCTGATACCCTGCACCCTACCCAACATATAGTAGTTTAGCAATGTTAATGGTGTATACTTTAATTCCTTCATCAGCCTAACACCAGAAAACACTTCCTGCCCTATCTTGCACGAGGGTCATAAAAACAAAATGAGATAATGAGATGTGAAAGTATTTTTGGAAATTAGAGGTAAAAATCATTGATTAAAAAATCTAATAATGTATTACGAATCAGGCAACCATAAAGTTCAGAAAGATCCCTTTGTTCCTAACAAACATGCTTAACAAAACTGGCGATATCATGTTGCACACTACTGTGTACATTTCAGAACTGTTAAATTATGCTAATAAGTGTAATGTGTACTATCCTTTACTTATCAATTATAAGTTAATGGCCTAACAATAATTGTGTTAGAATCCTAATATGGAAATTATAGAACTTAGCACTTAACCATAACCTCATATTTTGATATCTTATGAAAAACAGCATACTTTTTAAGACAGCTGCTAAGATTAGTGAAATGAGTAATATATACAGTCTGAGCAATGAAACAACTAATGGCCTAAATCCACCAAACACTGTGTGATCTTTGGCAAATCACTTAATCTTTCTGAGCTTGTTTTCTTAAATACTGAGGAAGAGAACAATACTTGCTCACATGATCTTCAAAAAGCTCCAGGTCATTGTATGTATGTAAAAAGATACCCAAACACTAACAATTGCTGTTGTTACTAATACAAAGTTCTAACCACCAAAACTAAGCACAAGAATTTCTTCCGTAACACAAAAGTTAGGATGATACATGACCCATGTAAGCAATCTACAAACGAAATCTACCAAAAGAAGTACCAGATTTCATTTTTGAGTTTAACAAGGGTGTAGAATACAAGCTTAGTACAGAGATACATATTTCTACATATACTAGTAAAAAAATTGAAAACAGAAATATTAAAAAAGAAATACCACTTAAATTAGCAAAAAATCTATAGGTACAAATCTAACAAAATATGTGCAAGATCTGTATGCTGAAAACTACAAAACACTGATGCATGAAACCAAAGAAAATTTTTACAAATGGAGAGACATATCATATCTATAGACTGAAAGACTCAATACTATTAAGATGTTAATTCTCCCCCAAATTATCTTAGATTCAACATCTATCAAAATCACAGGATTTTTATAGAAATTGACAAACTGTTCTAAAGTACATATGGAAAGGCCAAAGACCTAGAATAGCCAGAAAATTTTTGAAAACAGAACAAAGTTGGAGAACTCACTGACTGAATTCTAGACACATTTTAAAACTACAATAATCAAGACAATTTGGTGTTGGTATTAGGACAGAAATACAGATCAATGAAACAGAACAGAGCGTCCAGAAACAGAACCACACAAATGATTCTCAACTACTGATTTTCAACAAAGATGACAAGGTAATTCAATGGAGAAAGAAATGCCTTTGCAACAAGGAGTACAGGAACAATTGTTCATCCATTTGCAAAACAATGAACCTTACACTTTACATATAAAATTCAAAATGGATCATTGATGTAAATGTAAAACCGAAAACTGTAAAACTTCTAGAAGAAAACTTACAAAAAAAAAAAGGAAAAAGTATTTGTGACCTTGGGTTAGGCAAAGATAAGACACAAAAAGCACGCAACACAATAGCAAAAACTGACATAGTGGACTTTACCAACATTAAAAAAATGAAAAGACAAGCCACAAACTGGTAGAAAGTATTGGAAAAAACATATCTTATAAAGGACTGATTTATATCCAGAATACATAAAGAACTTTACAACTCAATAATTCAAACAACCTAATTAAAAATAAGCAACAGATCTGAACAAATACTTCACACAGAGAGAGAGAGGGAGAGAGAGAGAGAGAGAGACTGATCTCAAGTAGACTTTTTTTGCTTACAAGGCTCAATTTAATTTTGTCATTAGGAAAATTCAAATTAAAACTACAATGAGATACCACCTCAAACCCATTAGAATGGTTAAAATTAAAAAGACTACAATCACAAGTGCTAGTAAAGATGTGAAACAAATAGAACTATTATACATTGCTGATGGGAATGCAGGATATTACAGTCACTTTGGAAAACTGGCAATTTCTTATAAATTTCAACATACATTTACCATTAGACCCATCAATTCCATTCCTGGAGACTTACCCAAAAGAAACACAAAGACCTATATTTAAATGTTCATAGTAGCTTTATTTATTATGGTAGTGGTTACTCAACTCTATCCATTTTTCAAATTTAATGAATTGCACACTTTCAAAAGGGTGAATTTTATGACATGTAAATTGTACCTCAATAAACCTAACTTAAAAAAAAATACTTTATTCAGAAGTCATTAACCCCTGATTCTATACAAGCTGGTCTAAATATCTTTTCCTCATACCACTCTCACAGCTCTCTATGAAGGTATTCATCAATCATCAGTATACCAGGTCTAAGAACCTTGTCCTACAAATCTCTGGATCCTTAACACAAAGAACAACGCCTGGTAGAAAGTATATGCTCTATCAATGAACCTAACTGATTCTGGCTATTATCCTAAAACGTCTTAGCCTCATGTTCCTCCAAAACTTTATAACTCTAATCTTATTATTAGCAGTATGTTACTTGTTATAGCTATTTTATAGATAAGTTTTGACTTTCTACAATGATCTTAAGTTTCTATCTGGCTTTAAGAAACATGTTTTGTTTCTGTTTTTGTTTTTGTTTTTGTTTTGAGACGGAGTCTCACTCTGTCGCCCAGGCTGGAGTGCAGTGGCGCAATCTCGGCTCAGTGCAAACTCCGCCTCCCGGGTTCACACCATTCTCCTGCCTCAGCCCCCCTAGTAGCTGGGACTACAGGTGCGTGCCACCACACCTGGCTAATTTTTTTGCATTTTTAGTAGAGACGAGGTTTCACTGTGTTAGCCAGGGCAGTCTCGATCTCCTGACCTCATGATCCGCCCACCTCGGCCTCCCAAAGTGTTTTTTCTTTCCTTTTTTTTTGGTCTCTGTTACTCAAGCATAACTAACTTTATACGAAGATACCTGAATGCCAACTCTCTGAAATTAGGGCGGGTTAGATATAAGCTCAGCTGGGTATGTCAATAAGACCACCACCGAAGGAACGTGTGACTTGGAAAACATGATGAAGCCCATCTTCGCTGACCAAAAAAGCCCTTCAGGCCTAGAGCCCTGCAACCACAATGTTAAGAAGCACCATCCTCCACGAAATGTAGATACTTTCAGATAGAAGAGAAGCAAGTACTTAATATCAGAGTCTATCCACAGAGAGCCAAGTATGGCATGTGGGAAGATAGGGTATATACTCCAGTGCAGGGATCTGGTTTGTCAGTCTAAAGGCAACAAGTACCTGGTAGCAAAAGAGAAAACAAAGGCCCTGGCCTAAACCAAAAGTCATTATTTTCTAAGTTTGAATTAAGATAATCCCTAAAACAGGAAAAAAATAAAAATATATTTTTTTAGATGTTAAATTGTAGTTTAGAATGTAGTTTAAAAAAACATATATATTATATGCACTGAGTTCTGGTCACTATAGGACACAAAATTTAAAAAATGTTAAGAGCATGATCTCACTTGTCTCTGGAATCTAAAAAAGTTGAACTCATAGAAATAGAGAGCAGAGGCCGGGCGCGGTGGCTCAAGCCTGTAATCCCAGCACTTTGGGAGGCCGAGACGGGCGGATCACGAGGTCAGGAGATCGAGACCATCCTGGCTAACACGATGAAACCCCGTCTCTACTAAAAAATACAAAAAAAAACCTAGCCGGGCGATGTGGCGGACGCCTGTAGTCCCAGCTACTCGGGAGGCTGAGGCGGGAGAATGGCGTGAACCCGGGAGGCGGAGCTTGCAGTGAGCTGAGATCCGGCCACTGCACTCCAGCCTGGGCGACAGAGCGAGACTCCGCCTCAAAAAAAAAAAAAAAAAAAAAAAAAAAAAATTAAATAAAAAAAAAAAAAAAAAAAAGGAAATAGAAACTTGAAGGTGGTTGTGAGAAGCTTCCTATGCGTGGAGGGAGGCTTGGGAAGATGCTGGCAAATTCAAAGGATACAAATTTCAGTTAAATAGGAGGGCGTGACAGTTCAGGAGACTACCTTACGGTGACTACAGGTAAAATTTAAAATCAAAAAAGTATGGTATAAAATGAGCACAGCCCAAAAAAAAAAAAAAAAAAAAAAAAAAAAAAGAAATAGAGAGCAGAAAGGTGGTTAGCAGAAGCTGCGTGGAGGGGAGGAGGCTTGGGAAGATGCTGGTCAAAGGATACAAAATTTCAGTTAAATAGGAGGAATAAGTTCAAGAGACTACAACACGGTGACTACAGGTAAAAAATTTAAAAATCAAAAGTATGGTAAGCAAAATGAGCACAGAGATTTTTCGGGTTTTTTTAGATTTTCAGTTTTAGTTTTAGTTGTTTTTTTTTTTTTTTGAGACAGCTCTGTCACCCAGGCTGGAGTGCAGTGGCGCCATGTTGGCTCATTACAACCTCCACCTCCCGGGTTCAAGCAATTCTCCCACCTCAGCCTCCTGAGTAGCTGGGACTACAGGCACATGCCACTGCACCCAGCTAATTTTTGTATTTTTAGTAGAGACAGGGTTTCACCATGTTGGCCAGGCTGGTCTCAAACTCCTGGCTTCAAAAGATCCTTCCGCCTCAGTCTTCCAAAGTGCTCCCAAGGTTACAGGCATGAGCCACTACACCTGGCCCAGATTTTCAGATTTTTCATCTGAAAAAATGCAGAATTAAATTGTTTCTTTAATAAGAAACATCTCAGAAAGTAATACATTGAATAAATATGAAGAAAGCATCAAGATGTTTATAGATAATCCATGACTAATATTTCATGGTTACCTTTAATAGTAGTACCAGAGGCATAACAAAATAGAAACAGGATTCATTCCAAGGTGGGGTAGGGGGTTACCAAGGACCACATGTATATACCAGTGCAGTACAGGACAAAGAGAATGAATTTTTAAATCAGCCAGACTTGAATTTAAATTTTAGCTCCAGCTGTGTGATCTTGAATCATTTATTAAAGTCTCGGAGTCTCAATTTTTTTCATCTGGAAAATAAGGGCAATAAGATCAACCTTCACAAGGTTGCTATAAATATTAATTATAATAATCTATATCTGATGATAGCAAATAGGTTTCATTTCATTTGCAATTCTAACAGATTCCTAGATTTGTCCTGGAACACTGTTAGAAAGGATTCCGAAGGCCTCGAGCGGTGGCTTATGCCTGTAATCCCAGCACTTTGGGAGGCCAAGGCAGGAGGACTGGTTGAGCCTAGGAGTTCACAACCAGCCCGGGTAACATAGCAAAACCCCAAGTGAAAGGAAAACACCTTGGGCCCCCAAAATCATTAAGGAAAACTCAAGCTGGAAACTGCTTAGGGCACCCTGCCTCCCATTCTATTCAAAGTCACCCCTCTGCTCACTGAGACAGATGCATATCTGATTTGCCTCCTTTGGAAAGGCTAATCAGAAACTCAAAAGAATGCAACCATTTGTGTATCACCTATCTGTAACCTGGAAGCTCCCTCCCTGCTTTGAGTCTTCCTGCTTTTGTTTCAAGTTGTCCTGCCTTTCCAGACTGAACCAATGTACTTCTTACACATATTGATTGATGTCTCCTGTTTCCTTAAAATGTATAAAACCAAGCTGTGCCCTGACCACCTTGGGCACAAGTCTTCCTGGGGCTGTGTGACAGGCACATCCTATCTTGGCAAAATAAACTTTCTAAATTAACTGAGACCTGTCTCACATTTTCACACCCATCTCTACAAAAAACAAAATTAAAAATTAGCTGGGCATGGTGGTGCCTGCCTGTAGTCCCAGCTACTTGCTGAGGCAGGAGATATTGAGGGATTCAGGCTGAGGCAGAAAGGATTGCTTGAGCCCAGGAGTCTGAGGCTACACAGCTATGATCACACCACTGCACTCCAGCCTAGGCACCAGGGCGAGACCCTATCTTTAATTACAAAAAAAAAAAAGAAGTAAATAAAAGAAAGGAAGAAAGAAAATATTATGGAGCTACTTTTGAGCCTAGTTAAAAGATAACTGTAGAGGCCAGGCACAGTGGCTCACATCTATAACCCCAGCACTTTGGGAGGCCGAGGCAGGCAGATCACCTGAGGTCAGGAGTTCGAGACCAGCCTGGCCAACATGGAGAAACCCTGTCTCTACTAAAATACAAAAAATTAGCTAGGCATGGTGGTGCGTGCCTGTAATCCCAGCTACTTGGGAGGCTGAGGCAGGAGAATCGCTTGAACCTGGGAGGCGGAGGTTGTGGTGAGCCAAGATTGCGCTATTGCACTCCAGCCTGGGAAACAAGAGTGAAATTCTGTCTCAAAAAAAAAAAAAAGAAAAGAAACTGTAGTAGATTAGCTACATCAGTCATGGGTACAGCAAAGGTGGAGAACCAGCAGCAGCATATAATCCAGGCACGTCATCCTGTGCTCAATAAATAGTAGTTGTTCTTATTCTTGGAATAACCCTACTAGTCAAAAGAGAGGTATTTAACATGATATTCCATATTTCAACTTAATTTTCAGATTCTAGGTGAGGACATCCAGTAAGACAGAAAAAGCAAAATGCTACGAGAAAGCACATTCTTTCCTAAACACACACACAAATCTGTCTTCATAAATTTCTTCAGATAAAGGTATTTTTTAAACTAGGCAATGATTCAAACATAACAACATAAGTAACATTAAGTAAACAATAACATATGTAAATGATCATCAAGGTCTCTCTTAGTGATATAAGTAAACAGTCATAAAAGTCTCTCTTTATAATAGGAAATGTAGAAACAGAAAGGTTAGACAGGTTAATTTGGAGATGACAACTACTTGAAACCACAGTCTAAAAATTACCTGCTGACCCAAGTATTTCAGCCCATCCAAACAGACTTTCCATTCAATCAACAGCTGGTAGATGTTCTCCTTTCCACCCCATATCTTCACCACGAAACAAGACACAGATGTATCAAGACGGTCTGGCATAATTCCAAAATCGAGACTTCGCCATGTGGGATTCTGCTCATGAAAATGAAAACAGGCTTTAGGACAACTCTACTTGTTTACAATTATTTCAATTAGGTGGCAAATCATTTTGTTTTTCAAAACCAAAAGACCTCATAAATACATTAAATTGCAAACTTAAGTAAACCAAGAAGACATTACAATTAACATAAAAGGGGTGATAATGGTACTTTTGAATTTCTCTGCTTACTTATTACAGTCATTAGAAGAAGCGTATATTCCCATTTCTCACTTACATGGTTTCATATGGTAATTCATTCATTTATTCAACATTTAATACATGATTATTAAGAGCCAACACATAAACAATGCCCTCAAAGAGTCTCCAACTTACTGTTGGATTCAAACCTCCATTTAAATAATTACACTGTTTTGTGCGAAGTTCAATAACAGAATTATGCATAAGGCTACACAGCAGCAGAGAAAGGAAAAATAAACTCTGACGAACAGGGGAAGATATCACAAAGGCTGCAAAACCTGGCTTTTAACAGATAAGTGGGCATTCACCAGATTAAAATAAGGAATTTCAGGAAAAGGGGGATACGATATGAAAAGGGCTCAGAGGTGTAAAATGCCAAGGTGTGGTCAGGGCATTCAGGACTACTGCTGGACCACACAATACAAAAGTGGCAGGACACAAAGCTGGACAGACACACAAGGAACTGAACTGAAGGATCTTTTATGCCTTTTACTAGGAGGGAATACTTCACTCTGTACAACAGTGGGGCCATTGAAATGTTTTCAAGTTGAAAATAACAAGGTCAGCTTTATGCTCTGAAAGAACATTATTTCTCATTAAGAGAATCATCCAGGGAGTTGAAACCCTCTCCGAAAACTGAAAATGTTAAGGAGCTTTCATAACATCAAAGGAATGAACTACAATGTAATATGTCAACTACTTTCACTTATTTCCCCTACATTAAACATAAGGGCTTTCACTGCTGAATGTAAACAAAATCAACCTATTAAATTACCAATTTTCGTATTATGTAAATCAGTAAGTCAAAGGGTCTTCAGATAAGGGTAACTAACTGTTCTTGGCTTTGTGGCAGTTTTTCTTTCTTGACCAAAGTGTGAGGTGGGAGAGGACACTAAATACTACCACAAACAGCATGATGACAACCTAGCATGCACATTTATGCAGTCAGTTTTATACTGGATTGTATAAAAGTAAATGCTAGCCATGCAAGAATTTCAGTCTAAGATCAACAGAATTCCACTCTTATATGACCTCTAGTCTGTATCTCACTATAACTGTTTTAGCAGTCCTGCTAAATAGGGGCAGAGATTCATCTAAATGTGAAGCCAACATTAAGGTCTGGGAGTAACTATGCTGACCCACACCACAAGAAATGCTTACAGTTCTTCAGGCTAAAGGGAAACAACACTGGATACAGACTTGGATCTAAGCGAAGGAATGGAGACCACTGGTGATCGTAAATATGTGGGTAAATATAAAAGACTATATGGCCCAAGGGTGAATGGAAGGGAGCCATCAATTTCTGATAATGACGGGAATATCCTTTCATTGAAAACTAAAATGTCAGCTAAAATATGTTTTAAATAATAATAATAATCACCCTTAACATCAAAGAATTTCCAAGTCAAGGAAGAAAGAACCCAGAGAGATAAGTGGAGATCCAGAGGTCTTTGTTGTGAAGTCATGACAGATCTATACAAAGCCGTGACTTTGGTTTTCTTTTTGGGGTAGAGACAGGGTCTCACTATGTTGCCCACACCAGTCTCAAACTCCTAGGCTCAAGCAATGCTCCCACCTCAGCCTCCCAAAATGCTAGGATTACAGGGGTAAGCCACTGCACGTGGCCAGTTTTGGCATTCTTAAAGGAAGCAAGGACATAATTCAAGAGCCAGGCCCAGGTCCCACCCATGACTAAAAAATGTCCCTCTCCACACTGAGCTGGAACCACAAAAGGGCTATACCCCTGAACAGCACAAGTGAAACTAAATCCACCAAATCCCTACCCACAAATGTCTGTAGGGAAGGTTGCCATGATGGGTAAGAGGAGAACCTTCCTTGGAAGAAGAAATTACACAGAATGCAGCAGAGACAAAAAGAACAATATTAAAAAAAAAAAAAAAAAACAAGGTTTAAAAACATGGATGACAGAGTAAAAAGATCTGATATGCATTTAGCAAGCAGTCCAGAGAGGGACAATGGATTAAGGAAGGAGGCAAGGAATTATTTAAAGAGATAAGTAGCAATTTCCTACACTGATTTTAAAAAAAAAAAAAAACTAATTCACAAGTTTAAATACCTAACAGGTCCTAAGCAAGATAAATAAATCCACATCAGAACACATAAAACCAAATAACTGACAGCCAAGATATCCACCTAATGAAAATATTATTCACAAATCAGAGTAAAATGAATGCATGCTCAGACAAAAAAAACTTGGGAGTGTAACACTAACATATGCTCACTAAAGAAAATCCTAAAGGATGCACTTTAGGCAAAGTAAACTCAGAACATTTTTGCTGCAAGAATGAATGAAGAGCAAATAAATGGTACCTACAAGAGTAAATCTAAAGGAGGGGTAGGATGTCTGACGTGATAAAATGAGTAGCTCAGCAAATTTTTCCCCCAAAAAGCAACAGTAAAACTGGATAAAATTCACAGTCCACTGGCAGAAGACACTGGCTTGAGGTATCTAAGCATAAAGTCGCCAATCACTGGGCGACCACTAAGCTATGCAGACATAGGAGTAATCACTAGAAATGTGGATGGGCTTCGGAACAGCAGCAGACCATCACCCAAACAGAACCACTGGCTTGTGGAATAGCTTTGAAGGATCACGTAGCTTCAGCCTTTCCTCTGGCAAATGAAGACAGGCAGAGTGGGAGAGAGGAAAGTGCTATAACGAACCATGCTGTTGAATTACATAATTCCCTGTGTCTTAGAATCATCAGTTATAAAACTATCACCTCACAGGGTTTTTATGAAGCTTGAACAGAACAGTAATAAAAAACTAATTATAGCAATAGCTACTATTTTAATACTTACTAGCGACAGTCACTATATAAAGTATTAATAATAGATAAAAAGGGCATAGAGGGCCGGGCGCGGTGGCTCAAGCCTGTAATCCCAGCACTTTGGGAGGCCGAGATGGGCAGATCACAAGGTCAGGAGATCGAGACCATCCTGGCTAACCCGGTGAAACCCAGTCTCTACTAAAAAAAATACAAAAAACTAGCCGGGCGAGGTGGCGGGGGCCTGTAGTCCCAGCTACTTGGGAGGCTGAGGCAGGAGAATGGCGTGAACCCGGGAGGTGGAGCTTGCAGTGAGCTGAGATCCGGCCACTGCACTCCAGCCTGGGTGACAGAGTAAGACTCCGCCTCAAAAAAAAAAAAAAAAAAAAAAAGGCATAGAGAATGCTTATTCTGGCACATACAAATATTTAATCTGCTGAATAAATTAGCCTTGTTAATCCTAACAATAAATCCACATGAAGTAAATAAGACAATCTGTTAATTCCAATAGTTAAGACAAAATACCGTATTTCATCAACTCCAAGACATACCAATCATAAAATGCATCATAACTTTATATACAACTTAAAAAGAACTGATTTTAAGATGCATCTAGATTGTGCAGGAATGTTAAATTGTGAAAAAATTAAAAATCAATAAAATCAATAAAACACAGAAGCTGAGTCTTCTTGCCTAAGGTCACTTAGTAAAAACAGTATCAGAATTTGAATCTAGTTCTCTAGAATTTGTCTCGTGTTCATTTTGTGTGTGTGTTTTTCTTTTTTTTTTTCTTTCCACCAAATTACAAAAGACAGAATTTAGAACAAAGGGGGGCTAAAGAGAGGGTCAGCAATTTCCTTATTTTAGATCTCACAGCCAGAGGCAGAAACAGGAAGAAAGAACTCTGCCCTCTGCCTATACCCTATTCTCCAGGAGAAAGGAACTGGGGAGACTCCATAGGTCTCACACTAGCTCTTGCTGCTCCATCACCAGACTCTACAGCTGATGAGGGCTGAGACAAAACAATCGACTAAACATAATAGCAAACCCTAGACCACTACTACAAGAACGAAGCATTCATTACAGATTAGCTAAGAAGGAACCGGCCCTCCGCTGGTTCACCCAACTGTCCACCAAGGACACTGAGAAACCTGTAGCTAGGAATGCTGGGGAAAAGCCTTCTAGCCTGCAGCCTGAGGATGTGCCTGCTCCCCTGGAACGAAGTACCCTTCACCAACTCTACCTTATATGAGTAATGGCATCATTTGTGAGCCATTTACTACATGGTGAGCACTATAACTGATTTAATTTAACATGAACTACAGGACAAACAAGCAAGCTGCATACAACATAGAGACAAAATGAGGGCTTCCTCTAGCTTACATATCCTAGGAATAAAAGCAATAAAAGGGACTTTTGAATTTGCCTAGTCCACCTCAAGTTCTGAAATAAGGAAGCTGACAGCCTCTGGTGGGAGCCCCTCCCTGCCTCTACCCCTACCCATTCTTTTCCTGGTTAACATTTCTGTAACCACTAGGTTTCAGTTCAAACATCTCTTCCTCAGAAGCCTTCCCAGTTCTCCTCTTAACTGTCAGCCTTCTCTCCCTTCCACCCACTGTGAGGATGGGGCTTTTTTTGCTATTGTTTTCCCAAGTAGATAATACAGTAACCTGGAGACAAAGTAAGTATTCAAATATCTGCAGAATAAATATATATATATATATATACACACACCTATTCCTGGCACTTTGCTACAAGAAGACCTAATCACTTTGGGGTCGAAAATATTAAATTTAAGTCCAAGACCAGAAAGCACAGCTTAAGATTCATTTGGAAAAAGTGATTCGCTTTCTCACCTCATATGAATCATGCTTTATAAACAGAGAATAAAAACCATTTTACTCATTTTTACTACTGGTATAATTATTACAAGAAAGGGGGAACAATGAAAGCTGTGTGTTCACTGATGTCCTTGGGGCTGGCTGCTGCTCCTCTATGCTCCCAGA